TCCATCCAAAGTGGGATGGATGCCGTCTCTCCTAACAAGACCAGGTTTCCTCCAGAAGGTTTGCCAATTATCTATGAAGCCCACATCGTTTCTGGGACACCGCTCGGACAGCCAGCAATTTAAGGAGAACATGCGGCTAAACATGTCACTCCTGGTCTGATTGTTTGTATGTTTTTCTTTCTCCCCAGTTTTGTATTCACAGTACTGTGTAGTTATGTAGCACAATCCTGTAGTTCACATGCAGATGTTTCCTCCTGTCCTGCAGGAGCCTTGGTGGGCTCAATGACCAATCAGATTTCAGCCATTCACCTCACAAGACAGGGACAGCCAGCCTCCACATCAGATTTCTTTCCATCCCTTTCCTCTCCTTCACCGACACGGGAATCCCTGCTTGAAGAGACTCCCCCTCCGCCTGGGTGAGAATCAGCTACATCACATTTCAGGTTTCCCTCCTTCACATCTTTCCTTTAGTGATTACACTTGATTTTGCTCAGCCCAGAGCATGCTGCACAGGCGGGTGTAGAAGAAGAGGAGCTGGCTGATGAGCTTGCCTGCAGTGATGACGGTGAGACGTTTAAGTAAACTCTATCATACTTGTGCTGTAGTTAATCAGCTGGTCAGTTTTCTGTTGATGATATTATGACATGTTGTATAATTATGTAATAATATAGTACTGATGAGAACATTGTTATTTGTTCTTGAGTCAGACAGCTCCTCCATCACTGGCACTTCATCCGGAGGGTGCATCACTCTCCCCTCCTGGTAAGACATGCAGTAACCATACACACACCATCACTGGTTTATTTACTGTGACCTTCATAGAACAAATATTCTTCCAATTCCAAATATGGTTCTTTGTCAATTGAAAGGGAAGTAAAAGTAAAAAAACAACAAAAAACACGCAAACATGCTGCACAGGCACATTTACTTAAGCGATATTTAACACCTAACATAAACACATTCTTCAGCAGATCCTTTTTATCAGTGCGCTCACTTAAAATGTGAATCTGTTGCCACAAACGTGGCAGCAGCATTGTGGTACAACACTGTAGACGTAGCAGTGGTGTCAGAACGAAGGCTCGTCTCATGTTTGCCAAAGCACATCTTGAGTTTTGGGAAAATATTCTGTGGACTGACAAGTTTGCATTCCTCATTACACCCATCTCATAAGAACACCATCATACCAACAGTCAGATATAGTGGTGGTCATGTGATGGTGTGGGGCTGCTCTGCTACTTCAGGACCTGGAGGTCTTGCAGTAACTGATGAAACCATGAATTCAGCCCACTTTTGCTAGCCAGCCTTTGTGCTTGATCTCTGCACTTTTTCGTAGCGTGTTTATCAGCAATTATCAGAGTAAACAGGTGTTGTAATCCTCCTTGTGAGCCAGCCGTGACACTGGCATCCAGTGTAGTTACGTAGGAGGATAAAGATCCAAAACACCAGGGGCCCGTTCTTCGTACCTCGCTAAGTAAGTTAGCTGGATTTGATTGTTGACGATTTCGCGTGATCCTGGATCGTTCGGTTCCCCGAAGCTCATCCGGGACTTGCTGTCATAGCAACAGAGCCGTAAGCGTAAACCTGCTCGGGAGCAGGTCAAATCATCGCGCTAACCGTGAGCTCGCTAATCCGGTTCCCCGAACACACCTGCTGTTGACGATTACTACAGCTGGATGAAGTAATGCGCGATCACTGGGTGTCGTAAAAGGGGCTACGCATCGATAGCAGAAACAGTGATCGGCAACCCGCTGATTGGTCGGCGAAAATGTCGAAGGGGCGTGCTCGGTATTTTCCGGCAGCAGAGCAAGAACTCATGAGTGAGCACG